GCTGGCGATCATCAAAATTCTGTAATTTTATTGGCTGTTGATCACATGATGTGCCTCCGCTTTAGACGACCTCCAAATATGGACAGTGTAGATCGCACCTTGTATGGTAAAGAAATGTTGATCACATGATTCTTATGTTGTTCTCAAGCATGTGATTGCCTGATGATGGAGATGATGCATAAGCATTATGATTAATTGAAATAATGATTGCGATCAGTGCTTGAGCACTTTATTCAATTATCGCTATCAATGTCTTCAAGAAAAAAAAATCAACAATTCCTAAAACTTTGGCTTCTAAAACATTGGCTTCTAAGCCTTTGGCATCTAAACCTTTAGCACCCAAATCGTCAATTTCTGAAACTCTAGTTTCTGAAACTTTAACCCCGGCTATTTATACTACTCCTTTTACCAATTATACAAATAATTTGTCGTTACAACAGCAGTTTTCTGCTACTCAAATTCATACAGATTCCTTATATAAAACAGTATCAAAATACAATAAAATAACATAATATTTTTGTATGAATGTCACATTGTGAATGATAATGTTTTAATATGCTATTCTCATAGTCTTCTTTTATTAATCACCACAGCCAAGAAAATTTCTTACCTTTCGATTCTATATCCATTAATTCAAGAGATTCTATAGCTATTAACCCAAGAGATTCTATAGCAATTAACCCAAGAGATTCTATAGCTTTTAACCCAAGAGATCTTATAGCTGTTAACACAAGATCTACATCTATTTCACCTGTTACTTATGATTCATTGCCTACTATTGTTAATTTCAGTACATCCTCTAGCAAATCAGCTAACCAGTGGACTCCATCCGAAACCCGTATACTAATTCATAAAGTGAGAAAGCATCAAGGAAAGTTACAGCATGTCAAGGATCCAAGAGAAAAGGGTCGAATCTGGGATGTAATTGTTTCTAATGTTCAAACCTCTGATGTTGCCGGTTCAACTTTAAAAGAATGTACAAAAACATCAATTCAACAAAAGTAGGATGCACTTCTGCAAAAATATCGTGACATTAAGGATAGAATTGCAAGTACTGGCGAAGAACCAATTCAAAACGATTGGGAATTTTTTGATGACATAGATGAGTATCTAAGAAAAGATCCAAGTGTTAGTGCTCCTATCACAAGTGATTCGATTCATAGAATTAAACGTAAAGCGCAAAAAAATGTTGAGGAACAGGATGAAAACGAGGTAAAAATTTTTATTTTTAATTTTTATTTTTTTTATTTTATTTTTTTTTTTCTAATTTATAATTTTGTAGGATCATAGTAAAAAATGAAAAAACACATGTATTGAAGAAGAGAAATCAAATATAGAAGGACTTTGAACTCTTATTAAGGAACAAACAGAAGTAATCACGGAAGTTATGAAAAATCAATACGTACAAGCATCTGAAATTCAACAAAAGCAGCACGACGAACAAATGGATATTTTTAGACAATTATTACTTAAATTTTAAATATTACTTAAATATGCAAAATGATGTATTTATTCATAATGTATTTGCAAATAATAATGCATTTCTAATAATATCAATAAAGCTTTTTTAATATTGATTCATGAGAAGATCTGTTAAATATTGTCTCTTTCGAATCCTGCCATTTCTTCTCTTATTTCATTCAATAGTACAGATTCACTTTCGTCACTATTTGCACTATCACCTAACTCATTATCCTCTAAAGAATACACATCACTCATATCAATACAGAAATTGTGCAATATGCAACATGCGTGTATTATCCTAATGATTTGTTCAATATTTCATTCAATAATATTCTCCATCGACCTTTTAAACACCTGAATACATGTTCAATGACCATTCGCATGGATGAAATAGCTTTGTTAAAACATCTTTCTCGATGGTTTAATGTATAGTAGTCGGGAAATGCCTTCATTAGATATGTTCGAAGTGGGTATGCTGCATCCGCAATAATGTAAGTTCCACCCGGAACCCATTATTCAGCATTCGAAGAAATTTCTTGATAAAGTGATGAACAGTAAAATACACGAGCATCATGCACGCTTCCTATAATAATAAATATCAAGTTAAATAAATTTTATTAAAAATAATAAATAAATAATAAAAAAATAAATAAATTTTTACTAACCTGCTTCTCCAGCATGTATGTATGTGAAACGCTCTTGGTGATCAACAACTGCAAGAAGGTTAATAGAATGGAAATTTTTACGATTGACATAACGTGCACCATTCTCTGAAGGCGAATGAATAGGTATATGAGACCCATCCATCGAGCCAATAACATTAGGTAGTTTTTGATTCCCAAACCCAGTTTCTTCATACTCAAATCCCTGAGTTACTGTTACAATTCGTGAGCCTTGTGGCTATATGATTCGCTCTTTTTCCAAATCCAATAACGCCTTTAAAAATCGGTTGGTAAAATGACTTACAGATCCTTGGCTTACACCAAGTGTTTGCTCCAACATTCGTATTCCTACTCCATTCGCTAGTTTCCATAATACAATCGCAATTTGCTTCCACACAGGTGTCGCATTAGTTGCATTTGAAATAAAATCTGGATGAGTCTCTAAACGAGACACAATAGCACGAAAGGTAACTAGATTAATGCGAAAATGTCGCTGAAAAGAATTATAACATTTTCCATCCACTAAAAATGGTTAGACTTCGGTCCAAAATACTCCCATTTTAGGTCTTCTTTGATGTTGTGCTCTTGTATTAGGTAAAAAAAGTGCAAATGGAATAGTTGAGTTCATTATGACATAATTCAAAGCTAAAAAATGATAGGTGCTTATTTGTTGTATTTGAATATTCGAATGTCTTCTGTTTGCTATAAGGGCTTCGAGTATAAAAAGTATTGTAATAATTCTTTTGCATCGACGGTATACTTGTTGAAGATCCATACTATAAAAGTGAAGAGAAATGTGCTTGAGCTATCTTCCTGGTTACTTTATCAATGATATATTTTAACCAATCAGCGTAACTCTATGAAAAAAAAAGATGGTTGCCAGCTCCAGGTTTTTTTGACCAAAATGATTAATCACGATCTAATTTTTTAGCCAATCAGATCATTTTATTAATCACGGAGGTAGGTGTTTGAGAACAACCTAGATCATTTGGTTGTACGAAAATCATGTGTAATTGACCAATCAAATTTAATCACAACAAAATTTACTTATTAATGAAAAGAAGTTTGTTATCATTT